CGGAGGGGCGCAAACTCGCCGGCCCGCGCGGCTTGGGGCGCTCGTCCCAGGACCGCCGTGGCGGTGCGCTCCGAGTGGGGCACCCGTGGTCCTCTTCTTCACCCCCCCCCAGCCAAACCCGTGGATAACGGGGCACCCCAACCCCCGCTCTCTGGGGCACCCAGCCTAAGGCCGTGGTTAAAGATACTTGTCGGTGGGAGGGAAAATGTCCATTTTATATTTCTCCTCTCTGCCGTCGCCGATCCCTCTGTCCCCTGCCTCCGTCGGTGTCCCATCCCGTCCTGTCGTCCTGCACACTAGCGCTGTGACTTGGGAGATGGAACGAGTCATGTCGCCAGATTTCTCACCGCCTGATGGCCACCGCGTTGTTTAAACAGTATGAAAATTGATCTCTTGGCTGTTCCTTTAATGATTTTTTTTTTACACTCACAATTAAACTCTCAACAGATGTCACTGGACTTTTTAAGACTGTTTTTAAAAATCGTCAACATGCCTGGTCAATGTGACATAAAACAATTATGACTTCAGCTGCAGAGATCACATTTCAGAAGTCCCAGGCCCGCGCAGCTGGGAGGTTAATGTCTCCTAGTCGATATTACTGTCGTGGAGTTACCATTCTCATCAATTACCGGCGGAATGCTTTGTGCCCTATATAGGTAGCATCCTGGTATGTTTGAAAGACGCTGGGGAGAAATGGTGCAATTGTACTTCAAAGTAAACATTTAAACTGATAAATCATTATAACTTCATATTCCGTCACAGCACAAAGAATACCCAGGCACACACCATCCAGATACGCTCCTTTCAACATATGCCAATGTGCCACAAATTACATCCAGGGTCAGTAGAAGTTGTTGGGATTTTTTTCATCTGGGGACCCCAGTGTTGCTCTGGCCTCTATTAAGGCTTTTTGCCTCTATATAAGGCTTTTTGCCAATATAAGTGACTTATATTGTCTATTGGGCTCCCCAAACACTGGGTGCCTCTCATCCCTGACCCTTTAGGACGCACTCAGTGAGGGAGCACTGGTTAACTCGTGAGCTTTGTTACCCAATGCAAAACCAATACGTATTCATTCTAAGTGGTTGTGTTGCATTTGGTCTAGCACCGACCAGGGAGTCTCAGAAGTCACCGAATGCAAAACAAAACGGCTGATTCAGGGTGCCCTGAGGAGGCTGTGGGTCCTTCCTCCCTGGGTTCAGCTCAGGTGGTATCCAACTCAGGGTGGCGTCCCCCTCCTTAGAGCTTCTGCTGGCCTGGACACCAGCCTGGTAAAGTGGACTGCCCAGGGGACCAGCGTTCAGAGAGCCAGAGAGAGAGAGAGAGAGAGAGAGAGAGAGAGAGAGAGAGCGAGAGCTTGTGAGAGGATTCTTATTGTAATCTCTATAAATGTCACTGGCTTTGGGGTAAAAGTTCGTAATAATTTCATTGGCCACGTATGTATTGAAATCAACCGAGGGGATGTTCGGGTTGTTTGTGACCCGCACAGATTCCGGCAGATGCTGGCTGGAGGAGATGGCTCCTGCCATAGTGACGTTAAAGTGCTTTTTGCAAGTTTCTTTTCATTAATTCAGATTACAGAAATGACCATCCACAGGAGCCCTCTGTGGTTTTCGTAGTCACCTAATTCCTGAGTGAGCACAAAGGCCGGGGGCTGGGTGCTCTCTGACGGCCAGGGCAGTGGTTATGAGAAGGAAAATGGAAGCCAAAGTGCTTTATAAGCAAACTTACAAGGCGCCCTTTGCTGCTGTGCAGATGCCTTTCCCTCGGTGCATCCTGCCCCCCAGTCCAGGCCGCCCTCCCCGTGCCCGTACCTGCCCTCCATCTGGAATGCCCTTTCCCTCATAACTCACCATTTAAAAACCCTCTTCACCCTCCAAGACTCACTTTAAATGCCACCGTTTCTGGGAAACTTCCCCTAATTTCTACAAGTAAATGTTTTACTCCTCCCTCCGGAGACTCAACCGCCCAGAGCTTACTCAGAATGGAGGGCGTCCTGTCCCGTAACAAAGGTGATCGTTTTCTTCCCCGGAGCCTGAGCCAACTCCAGCCTGGCCTTGGGCAGAGCACGGCGTGTGTATGCAGAAGGAATGCACGTGTGCCCGGAGCCAAGTGGGTGTTTACCGGATGAATAAGTGAGTGAGGAAGTGAATGAAGAAATGAATGCTGAAAGAGAGATACGTTCCGGTTTTGGAAAGGTGGGCTACAGAAGCGAGCGATGGCTCCTTTTCACTCCAGCGTCCACATTTCTCTTCACCTGTACTTTGGTCAAGGGGACAGGGGGCTGGATTGGAGCTTGAATATCTGGGTTTGAGACATGGGTCCACCCCTTAACAGCCACATGACCTTGGGCAAGTTACTCAACATCTCTCCTGGCCTCCGTTTCTCCGAATGTAAAATGGGGATCATCCAACCAACCATAGTCACCCCAGATCCGTGCAGTTCCTCCCGGCCCCCGGCCTGGGCTACTTCCGCAGTGCGGAGCCCCAATCACAGCCTACCACTGGCTTAACCCATCCGAAGCGAGGGTCGTTCAGCGTGGTCTCCGCGCATGCCTGCCACAGGGGCCGGGGGCTGCAGTGGCTCCAGCACCACGTCCAACCCTGGGGACCCCTGGGGACCCCGACTGCTCCCCTTCTTCTGGCTTATGATGGGTAAAGCTCTGCACCTTGGGGCACAGATCTGCCTCCCCAGTGGCTGACCAAGGGGCCGAGTTAACACAAGTCAGAGATCCTGGGGAGTGAGTGAGCACCTCATCGAATGACCCTGAATCGGCTCGAAACAGGATTCAGGGTGGAGACAGCACATTAGTTTCGCTCCCTTCCTTGGCTGGTTGGGATGCTCTGGGCCCAGTAGTCCCATCAGGCGGCCTGTAAAACACCCCACATAACCCAGCAAACGGCGGTCTTTTGTGCGAAGCGCTGGACAGCCCGATAATCTGTCACCTTCCTTTTGCTTTCCTTCCTTCCCTTTCTCCTCACTCTTGTTGTTCTAGGATTATACTTCAAAAATACTTTGTGTTGTTCTGCCTCTGTCTTCGAAGGACCCCTGGCTAAGAAGGGGAATGGCTATAGCTACCATTCTACAAGGTCCTGGTGAGAATTAATGAGATCATGTCTACAAAAGCCCTTGGTACCCTGGAAAGAATCAAAAGTACTGGTTACTATTCTCAGACTAAAGAATTGATCTTCAGTTTGTCCCCCACGAATAAGGTTCCTGTAAGAAGCCAAGGGGAATCTCAAAAAATGATTTCAAAACCATTTCAGTAAGCATTCAATGTGCACCTATGGTGTACAAGGTCCTGTACTAGGTGCTATGTGACACACATCCGATTAGATGGGTCCCAGGCCCTAGGAGACCATAGTGTAGTGAGGTCTCCAACAGAGAAAACACAGATGTGAAGAATTATAATTCCATGGGCCCAGTATTAAACATGACACAGTCAATTATAGTTGAATATATATATATATATATATATATATATATATATATATATAGTCACGGGATGTGGAGTATAGTGTGAGAGTGGAGTCAGTGAAATTGTAACAGATATGT